AAATTTTGGGCCACAAAAATTTTCCGATATACGGTACATATTATATACAATTGGTTACTATGGTAACCTTATTATTGATGGATTCATGTTTAATCATTGTATGTGTGACCTCTGTCAGTTTACACAGTTAACCACATGAACATATTATTGTATATAAATACACTGATAATAATATTTCATTCACTCTAGCTTCTATTAATATCAGTGTTTCTGTATCTGCAGACATTATGTTTTACTATTGTACATAGCAGGAATGAATTGGTAATAATTAGTATCATAGGTATAATATGTCAAATGCTCTCATTAAATATTCATCATAAGAATTACTTACTTTATTGTAATATTATCATTACTAATTATCATTACATATTCAATACACATTGTATCTACTACTGTCTACATGTACTTACTGAGTTCAATAACAGCTGCATCTGTGTATGATGTATTTCCTCCAAACTCAATTATCCAGTTAGTAGTTGGGGTAACACTCCACACTGAGAGTGAATGACGAAATCTCGTAGTGACATTGACTGGTAGATTAATCTATAAAATTAAAATGATAATAATAATATTAATTTGTGTATGACATATTAATTGATTTGATATCTCGTTAATAAACACAATAACTAACTCACAGTTTTATAGTCTGCATTGTGTGTTTTATGTAACAAAAAGATGACATAATAAAATTAATAATGCACAATATATTAATAGACAAGTATACACAACTGAGTGTGTTATTATATCATCTGAGTCCTCAATTAAGAATTTACTAAGTGTCTGCATGTACACACATACACATACACATACTAAAGACACACTAACACACATACATGTATATCTATACATGTATAGACATATAAAGGTACATGTAAAGCATGCATAATTGCTCACACACATACACACATATGTACATGTTACATGTACACATGATGTACGTGTTAGCATACACATACACATATTAAAACATATGCACACATACACACAAATACATGTATGTACATACACAATGTACACAATCTATATAAAATACAATTTATTTTAATTCCAACATTGACACTGTATCAATTGTGAATCCATCTTTACACACACACAGACAGACACATGTATATTCACACATATTTAGGTAAAGAAACAAACACAAAACACAAAAAAGACACAAACACACATTCACACTAAAAACAGACACAAACACACATACTGAATACCACCATTATTCATCAGTAGTTTTCACTGAGTATCATAATATGTACATGTACATTACAAACCTCATAAGTTACAAATTTAGTTAACCACTATATGTTTCATTATCAAGCATCATAATATAATACTTACCAGTTCTTTCCAATTTATTTTGATAATGTCCAGTAACCATACATTATGGGCAGGTGATCCACCCACCACTAGTAAGTGTGGTCCTGAACTAGTGGTAATCAGTACACTGGAATGACCATATCTTCTCTCAGGCCATTGTACTGATCCTCCAGGATTAGGTACTTCTAATATATCCTTAGATAAAAAAATAAATGTAATAAAATAATTCAGAAACTCGCAATTTGCAATCAAAAGAATCTCACAATCAAGACCCATCCTAGAGCATTAACTCACAACTGATGTTTTAGTGAAACTTATCATATACAGTTTATTACTCCATCCATTATCAGTAGAGCCTCCGAACATTACCGCAGTGTTATTAGTAACTGGTGTTAGAGTGAAGGACTCAATAGGAGGTGGTCTGTCTCCAGTAATAACAGGAAATATCCATTGATCTAATAATAATGTACAAACATTCATGTAAACTTACTTACCACATACACACACATATACATTATACACATTCATCATACATATGTATGTGTATATGTGTGTACATTATTATTTATACGTACACATCATGCATAGACACACATCACTACCACATGATACACACACGCACACACACACACACACTTATTACATGTACAGTAATGAATAATTAAATTCAATCAATTAATTGCATCATACATGTAATCAATAAAAGCACCACAATGACCACATGGCCCCTAATAATGGCTACCCAAGCCCACATTGGTCTCCAGTACTAGCTACCCAGGCCCATACTACACTTCCACATGGACTATAATGTACATGTAGGTGAGTTACCATCTACAAACAAAGGCTATATCCACAAACCACAGAGCCTACACCAGTTTTACACATGCATGTACATGTACTACAAAAACTTAGTATCAGCCTATTAAAGCAACTGTAGTTTAGGACTATAGAGATTACTTAAAACTTGCCTGACCTGACTGAAGTGGATTTGGCAGAGCAGGGAGAGTTAAGATCCCGAAAAAACATTTTAACCTGCCACATCTGGTTCTCAAGGCCAGGCTGCCTACTAATCTACTTGGTATTCTGGTACATGTCATTTATGATTGTTAATGAATAATTATACAAAACTCATGGAACATTGCATGTGGGTAATTTGCATGTGACTCATGTGATACAGAACTTTATTAAAAATGATAACTACAAACAATGTAAAACATTTAAGGGCTCAGCCTTGTAGATTATTAGCTGGAAAAAAGCAGAATCTCTACCTTATGTTGCTGCTACAAAAATCCTGACTTGTTCTTTACTTTAAGCCTTGCTACACTGACTTTAAAATAGCCATAGATATAAAAAGGCTGGCCAGTTTAGTGCAGTCAGTGACAAAGGTGACATTTGTTTGATTTTTCAGTTTATCTCAACAAAAAGGAGTTTCATAGTTACTTAATTAATAAATAACATGAACCTACACACACACACACTCATGTCACATTAGCTTATGTATAGATACATGTACAAACATCACACACACAGATACATGATAATACTCACACATGTAACATGCACATTATAGATACATGTCACATACACACGTCATACATTCATAAATTCTCACATACATTATATGCACTATCATACACAGACACATCATAATGTATGTATTAGTACACACACACACATTACACATAGACACACGTCACCATCACACACAAACACATGACACACAAAAACACACTAACAAACACACTTAATTATTAACAATCTGTTTTATGTACATTAATATAAATTATTCAGTTTGAAATACTGATCAACTTTTGTGTATCAATGATGAGAATTACTGACCTGATGAAATCCTGTAATAATGTATCTCATTACATCTACCACCAGTTGAATACTGAGCATCAGATTGCTTTGGAGTATTGATAGAAGATGATCCATCTCCTCCAATTACTATAAGATAGTCTTCACCGTCAAAATTAACTGATACCATTCCACAGTAGGCCTTTTTCATTGGACCATGATCAGAACTAGAAGGAGAGAGTTCTCTCCACTTGAATGAATCCACATCGAAGGAATGTAAGCTGTTTTGATCATCAACTTCACGCCCACCGAAATAATATATGCCCTTTCCTATGGCGACAGATGAATAGCCCCTGGTACCTGGTGGTGGGGTGCCAATAGTAGGTTTCTGGTCCCAAGCACCAGTTGGTAAGTGATACACCTCCATCACATCATAGTGTACTCCAGACCCGTACCCACCCCACATATATAGGTAGTCTCCTACCTTTACTGTGGACTGTCCCCATCTCTTCACTGGTTGATAGTCTATAGAGAAGAAGAGGTACCAGTAACAGAGTAACAGTAATATAGTGATGAGTGAGAGTAAGGACAGGATACAGAGGAGTAAAGTAAGTGAGAGAGTAAGAGAAACAAAGAATGAATGAAAGAGATACAAAGAGAAGAGAATAGTGGCCCTCACTTTTAGATGCCATTCTTCCAAAATACCAGCCCCACCCAAACTATGCAACATAAGACCACACCCATTTATCCAAAATTCATAAAATGAGTTCCAGTCGTGGTGCCAGTAGAAAATCTCCTGCTGGTTCTACTAGACTCAAACCAAATCCCAACTTCTTCAATTCTCCTAGTCAAAGTGATGGGGTAGGTAAGGAGGGAACTGTACCAGAATCCTTATTGAAACAAGCTCGTAAAACCGGTTCACTGAACTTGTCAAACAGGTAGGAGGCTGTGTGAGACTTGTAACATGTTTTTTAATTCACCAAAATTGATCTGTTAAATGATTTTTTTATTTTCATTTCATGACGCATTAATGATCATGTGGATGTGGGAAAGTTAGTAGGTGAATTTGTATAATCACAGGGCCATTAGTGTTATTCCTCCTAAACTGTGGAGACTCAATATTGATCCTCCTGATGGTAGTACTGCTTCATTTGATGTTGATGAGAGATGGTGGGACTAGGTCGAACTGACTAGACTGGATCTATCATCTAACGAAATCAAAGAAATATCTGAAGATATTGAAAACTTTAATTCATTGTCAGCACTTGAGGTGAGAATGAAAATATAAGATTTTTAATATCATTATAATACATGTTTAGTGTACATGTATGTATGAATTAAATTGTAATAGCATGGTATACTGCATGGTTTGAGAGAACTCCCTTGAATGTTGTAGATTTGTTTATAGTTTAGTTTGTTGTTTATTTTTGTATAAAGACTCATAATTATGTTT